ATACTCACAATGACTGTGCAACACTGTATTCATAGAATATGGGAACAAATTCGTCGCTTCGTCAAAGAAACACTGAATTGAAATGAATTTAATTGTCAAGGCATTCCGGCAATCCGAACTTTAAGGTACCGTGCCGTACGACACTCATACCGAACCATTATTTCCGAACTTCAACGTCATGAGAATCACTTATGCATACGAGCACTGTTTGCTATGCTCTTGTTTATTTTTATCTCATGAGTTTATTTCTTGTTTGTCTAATTTATCACATTTGAAGAAACGTGAATCTTCTATCCATATCCGACGCAGAGAGTTCTGGAATGTGTCTCATCTTCGTACCAATTACAGAATACACTCAACTGCTCATAACCTGCCTAGAACTTAAGTTTATTATAGACTGCCATTAACATTCACTGTTTAACCAAAAAAAAAATGGGGTGGCTTAGCTCGGCTATGTCAGGATATACGTAGTGTGAGCTCATACGCACAAAATGAGAGGCGCTATCAAGCGGCTCCGGTGCAGCGTCAGACTTGGCTACTGCGCAACGGAGGCGCACAGCTGGGCACGCAGAGGCGCCAATCCGTCTGCCGCGGCTATGACGTCACTCTTTTGGAATGCGCAGACCGGCCAGGTGCGTGCGGCGACGGCGGAGCGCCCGGCGGCGGCGGTGGAGCGCGCGGCGGCGGTGGCTCCGGCGTGCCAGCTGTGAGCCGTGTGACGTCACTGCTCCTCGCGCATGCGCAGACCGGCGAGGCGCGCGCGGCGGCGGCGGAGCGAGCGGCGGCGGCGGCTCCGGCGCGCCAGCTATGCGTCGCGTGACGTCACTGCTCCTCGCGCTTGCACAACACAGCTCTTTGACAGCCACGCGAAACTGCTCGACCTCGGCCAGTGTAGCTAACGCTACAAAAAAAAAAAAAGAAGTTACGCGCGTGTTTTTTTTTTTTTTAATTTATATTGTATAGTGGTTTTTTTTTTTTTTTTAGAGCGCAGTTTTTAGGCGCCCGTTTCCGGCTTGAGCGGCGTCGGCGTCGGCGCCGTAGTGCGCTGTCGGCGTAACCGCGCGGTGCAGTATGAATAAATTTCCCCGCTAAATTAGCGGAAAAATTTCCCCGCTAAATCTAGCGAAAAAATTTCCCCGCTTAGCGGAAAAATGTCCCCGCTAAATCTAGCGAAAATATTTCCCCATAGATCACCGCGTGGTTACGCCGACGACGATGGTGTTTGCGAATTCAAAGTATCGTGTTTACGAAATCAAAGATTCCGAGGAATAAAAAGTTTGGATAAAAACAGTTCAAAATTTAGTCTTAGCATTTGCTGTGCATCTAACTCGATTACAGTTCTCCCCAATAATACGCTTACTCAATATGATGAGAAAAAAATTCTAGATTTTCCAAATATAATTCGTACAAAGCATTACAAAAAAAAGTGGAAATAAAAAGTAGACTTTCCTGAGATTATGATAGGTATTAGATAATATTTCATTGTTGCCACGTTTATTGGGGGTTGGGGGGGGGGGGGGGCGGGGAGGCTCATCACGTTTGTGTTACGAGCAAATTCAACCATTTTCAAAAAAAGCATTCGACTAAATTATATTCACAATGCCCATGTGACAAAAGCAGCTTTAGTGCGAACCTTGAATCAAGAGGCACCCCTACAGCTGATCGCGTTCAACATAAGTGACATGGAGAGGGTCTTCAACTCTGAAGTGGCTTTCGCTTTCCTGGGCCCGTCCGACCGAGGTGTAGCGTTCCTGTTATTAACGAATAAATTCGTGCCCCTGACTCTTCGCCTTCCACGTGGAAAATAGAAAATTCTCGACCTTCAGCTGGTTTCTAGATGAACGCCCTTAACAATGCCCGTGTGACGTGTGAGGGGAGTAGCATTCGGCCGATCGATAAACTGATTGGCGCCGTCTGTTGTTTTTTTTTTTGTTTTTTTTTTGTATTTTACTTCACTCGTCTGGGGTCGTCAAAAACGGAATATCACTAAATCCCATTTACAAAGTCCTCGTGACAAAAATAGCGACTGTGATGATCGGTAGAACGGCTAAAACTCCTGCCTCTTCGGGTTCCTTGCCGCGTTTTCCATTGAACATATTTCTAACGTTGTGGTCCAGAGTTAAATCCATTGACAACGTCCGTGTGGCACGGGTAGCATTCGCACGACAGGTGAGACACTACAGAGTTTTAGTAGATCGTTTTAGTACCCCGCGGCGCTATATGCTAGAGCGATGACACTATTGCGCATGTACGATGTTAGCGAAGAATTAGCGGAGCTGCCCAAGCTATAGCGGGGGCGCGCTATTTTACGAAAGTGGCGAGAAACGTAGCGCGCTTAGCGCGGTGTCCCAGCGTGGGAGTCTTGTCGAGATTGGGGACAGCCAGCGAGGGACGCTATTCAAGATGGCAGCCACGTCGCTCCTGTCCGCTTCGCGATCGCGGTTCTAAGGGGCGGATTTTATCTTGCCGCTGCAAGAAGTAGCCGCAACCAAACCGTTTCAGGACGGCAACAGGTAGCGATTTATGGCGGACATGCTAAATACGGCCGCGGGAAAAAAAAAAAAAGAACTTTGCAATTTGTGATGTTGCGAGCGAAGAGTGCTACCTCCTGCTCAGCAGCTTTTGTCGTGGAGACAACCGACCAAGGAAGCGAGCGGGCAGGCGATCTGAGGAATTTGCGTGGCGTTTCATTTTCGGTGAACAGTGAGAAAGTGACAAGACAGACCGATAGCAACGACACAACGAAAAAGCTAGAGTTGTTGTCATTAGGGAGTTTTCGTAGATCGTTTTTGCTGTCCCGCAACGGCTCTCCGCATCCCGCTACGATAGCCGGAACTCTACAGTCAAGGCCATGGGCGCGCAGGCGCAGTGCCGGATTCTTCGTTGCGGAAGGCTTAGCGGAGGGAGAAACACGGTCTACGAAAACTCCCTATTTATTTTTGAAGATTTCTGTCGAGGGCTTTGGCGCTTGACTGACTCATATCGGATTGGCTTGGACAGCTTGGCCGTCAGTTATACCGAATAACAAACATAATAATAATTTACTTAGAAAAAAAAAGGAAAGCAAATATTAGCACTTTATTCGATAAAGAAAGCATATTCTATTAGGGTAACGACGTTAATAAAAAAATTGTAAAGAATTGCTTTACAATCTTTTGTTTTATGCAAGCCTTAGTGTCTGAAAGAGCCGCTAGTGGCGTTGAGTTAGCTCTCATAAGGCTGTAATCTGTACCGGGTTGCTAGCGTTCAACTAAAACTTAAAATGGCGGTTCTTCTACACTAGTGGAGGCCGCAGCGGATTGCGGATAGCCGTACCGGGACTGACTAAACGATCTACTAAAACACTCTACTGGAGATCCTACCGTAAAGCGTTCTACAAGATACACGCATTACCGCCATTGTGCCACATACTGCATCTATTTCCCGGGTGACCAGTATTGTTTTAGGTTGATCGGTCAATCAACTCGTTCTTCTGGCTCCCAGTCTTCTACGTGGCATGCGCGGTGTAGTTCATTCTCATCCGGCATGTGCATAAAGGATGTACTTACAATCCCTGCGCCACTGTCGTGTGAGCTGTGCACTAACAGTTCCATGTGGCTCTTCGCGCTCTGCGTGGGATGGAAAACCTGGCATTTGCTTCAATTTCACGCACTATGCCCGTCTCAGCGGGGCAGCCACCGGTTTATCGGAACATCGTCTCGTCTCTGCGTGGCCGACGTGGCATAAACTTCATTTTCAATTTTTCAATGGCCGTTGACCGGGTCAGTTCTCAAGCGGTGGGTGAATGAACTCGCCTCCCTGTCACTTTGTGTTCCACGAGGCATGAGCGAGATCGCCGATTCCCTCTGGTATTTGGATGAACGCTATTTACAATGCTGGTTCGTCACGGCAAGCATTAAGGGAATGAAGGGAATGACCCCTGGCCCCTCGCTCTTGACGCTCCATACGGCATGCGGACGCTTCTTCCTTTCTCAATTGTTCCGCCGCCTTTCCAGTGAAAGAAGCAATTCCAAGCACGTCACTGCACTTTGAGCTTCGAAATACACAATCTGCTCAATCGACTGGACTAAGGCAAGAGGTGCACTTGAAAGGCAATGCTGTCCCAAGTTTGTCGGCTGAATTCGCGTTAACGCCGCTTCTACCTTGTTAAAACCACACGATGTCCGTGCGTTTTTTTTTTTTTTTGTTTTTTTTTTTGTGGGGGAGAGAGGATATATTTTGTTTTTGCCTTTCTTCCTTTTCTTTAACGTGAAGCCACCTTCTGATCACGTGAGTCTTAGCAGCTCCAGGCCTTCTCACCTTTCGCAGCAGTTAATTAACTATAATCTAGAACTCACATCTACTTTTCCGCAGTGCACTCCAAAGAGACATACAGTGCGATCTGTGCAGGGAATCCAACAAATATGAAGCAAAGAACAAAACAAAAAACGTTTCGACCGAAGAAAAATAAAATCCCCGCTGTGATACAAAGTGTGAGGTGAGCACGTCGAATGGCATGCCCATTGACAGAGCGAATAGTGTCCCGGTTAAAACTTTTTTTTTTTTTTTTGCCGTGTTTCCCTCGATGATCTCCAGTGAGTGGTTCTCTCTCATTAGTTTTCTCGGGTGCTCTGCAGGAATGTGGTTTCACGGGCCTTTTCGGAGCATAGACGGGTTCGGTTCAACAGGTGGGTTTCTTACCCCCCCAACCGAGCCTCGCCCCCAATTTCTTCAACTGTCGGCGTCCAGAGTCGCTCGGGTACGCGCTGGCGGCGTTTGCGGGGCGCGTGGGCGGAAGGACGCGGCTGCCCTGTGCCGCCAGTGCGCCCGGTCCAGCCGACTCCGACGCGCCGGCCCCTAATTAAATCCGGGCAGTGGCGATTATGCAGAGCAGCCCGCCCACCCCGTTCTGTGTTAATGAAATGCGCGGGCGAGCGCAACGCGCCTGCGCAGCGCCCGGCCGATCGCGGCACGCAGACGACCGGAGCGCCCCCGCGGCGGCGACGCGACGCGGCGCGCTCACACTCAGCCCCTGGCGACCGGCGAGAGGAGTCGCGATCGGCCAACTTCCCCATCCCGCCGCGCACGTGTTGTGTGTCTCCGCGCCGAGGCTTTTTCCGAGCCGAGGACTCTCGCGCCTGCTGCGCGTCGTGCCGCGCCAACCCAAGCTGCCCGACTCACCGTCGAGTGTCCGGCGTGTTCCTCGGCGTCCCCGTGTGCTCTGAACCTCGAGGAAGAGGCTTTGCGCGCGAGCTGCCAGACGCAGTGCCGCCAGCGGCGTCGATTCCCGACCGGTGGCCCGTGGCGGGGCTCCCTCTTGTGGCACCCCCTCCTCCCTCCCCCCGCACAGACCCCACCTGCAGCCCGCGTGTCGGGCCCCCTGGTTTGGCCACGAGTCGTCGGTGCGTCTTCGGCTCGTGCTGGGGCTGACGCTCCGTCTGCTGCGGATTAGGGACCAGAGTTTATTTTGGTCACGTGTGCACTGCCCGGTTTGTCAACACCTCGGACGGACTAACCCCGACCTTGCAAGACAGAAGCCGCCGAGAGATACGGACTCGAGACGTAAGTAGGATGCTGGGAGAGGAGACCTCTGCGCGTGGGTGGCTATATAGTCAATATCGCCGATTAAACCGCACTTGCTCGCCGTTTCCTGTCCGGTCGTAAGGTTTGATTCTTTTTCGAAGGAACCTTTCGTTTAGTCGTTCGCATTTGTCTTTGCCACTGCTAACTGAAACAGGCTGATTTCTTGTTTTATGCGCAATCACACTCATAAGACACGAAAACAGCCCTCACTGCCCTTTCCATGCGGATCTGTGGTTGAGTGAATGACCTGAATGGCGAGCTGTAGGTTGCGAAATATGCGTATTGTGTTTTGCTTTAACTGGCACTTAACCTTCTTTTACTCTTGCATCGAGCGAAATTTGTTTCCTGTGACGTATTATAGGGGCAAGAACAGTGTTCTTAATCATGATTATTGGCAACAAAATGAACATTGTTTAATTAATCGAACAGTTCTTTCAAATAATTCGACGACCGTACTTCATACACCAATATGGAATGTGGGAATGGGACTTGTTTACTTGTAGCTGTGAGTACACGAACCTGCGCACGATTAAATTGAATTTTTCTTACTCAAAACCTACGAGGTTACTACAATAGTTGATTCGTATTGTTTCGAAGGTCGGCGTTTGGAAACAGCTAGAAATGAACAAGTCTCAAGATCGTGAGTTTGCAAACGCCTACTTGCTCAATATGGCAGCCAGGTGTAAACCGCCCATAATCTCGCTATAAGGAAAAGGAGCTGCCATCTCACTACGACTCCCCGTCTCGCTTATTGTGTCCTTCTATAAGGAACAGAGGCGAGATGTTTGTTGCAAGACGAGATGTGTGTTCCAGCAAATCTCTTTCGGGAGCCGCTCAGGGCGTGCGCTTCATAGCATACTTCTGAAGTGGAGTGGCGAGCACCCAATATCAATAGTGCTCTACTGAAACACGGGGTGCTAACGCTCCCTCCTGTGCCCAGCAATTAGTAGCCACTCTGATAGTGTTAAAGTTACGGAACACGTCTTGCTGCATGTTTCATACGAATATTTCGCATTCCTGTCGTAATCCCGCTCCCCAAGTTTTTGTAACAGCAGCATTAATCATGTACCTCTATTGTATCGCACAGTCAAGGATACTGCTGAATCCGCGTAAAATCTCGTATCCATCGTTGGATTCGGTCAGTGATGGCATTGCTTTGCCATTTGCGCCAAAGTGACTACATGTCAGAATTTGAGGAATTAGCACCAACAGTCAATATCACTTAAAATGCTTTAAATGTAATAATACCTCAACCGTCGCTACATTGCCAGATTGCTTCCATAGGCTGCTGCAAATTGTCTTTCGATTATGTCGTCAAATATGTTTCTATTTGATTTCATTTCTGTCAATCACTGACGGTGCTCGGAAGCTTGGCAGTATATGGTTTGTTCTAGCAGGTTAGCTAGCTTCGTTGAGCTGGCTTCTCACCACGCACTGGTGCGCTGCAGTGAAGTGGCAGTCGCAAAATGGACATCGCAATTTGGCTTATCTTGTTTCTCCACGGCGCAGTTTCGTGTTAAGGGGAAAGCACCTTTCCAGGGCGGGACGTTACACACGATTTCTTGATGAAGATGTGGCTCTTATATATACTATAAAGGACTGCAATATTCTGGCCATATATATATATATATATATATATATATATATATATATATATAGAGAGAGAGAGAGAGAGAGATTTAGCAAGGATAATTGAGGACTGCTAAAGGATTTGTATGGACTGCTCCATCGTTTTTTTTTTTTTATGCCAACTCTCTTCCTAGTTATTACCTTTATGGGGCTTCATATTTGTTCGTTGACACATTTAATAAAGTACATTGAAACTAAACTGAACAAACAACCTTAACGAATTCGGTGGGATTGTGTTTTTAGCAAGGCTGATATTTATCATTCACGTGGCAATTTTTTTATAAGTCTTACATATAAAATGTATTGCTGTTCGTATTAAAATACAGCAGCTCCTTTTTATCAATCTACGAATTGCAGTGTTATTAGAACCTTTAGAACGTGAACAAAACATCAATATGGGTGCATATGTATTATTCTATTAACATTGTTTAGGTGGAATATACTATTTGCTTTTTCCTTGATTCTGTACCGAAAGTAATTGTGCACTGCAGTTCAGATTGTCATTTATCAATCGGCATCGTGTTGTCGTGTATTTACTTCTACGCACAACTAAGCAGTGTGTTCTGTGTTCGGGGGAATTTAAACCTGCCATTCAACTGACGCTAACGAAAGGTTTCGCAAAAGTGGGAAGGCAAAGTCGACATTGTCTTTTACTTCTATAGGCCAACACACGAATCTCGAACATAATGTTTGCAGTGGTATGGGGGAAAATCAAGTGTTCTTATGCAAGAAAAAGATTTTTTTTTTTTTTTTTGCTCTAAGGTGGAGGTTTGGCTGTTCCAAAAGGTGCTCCAAAATGACTCCTACCAGTTAAGTCACTGGATTCCTCAAACCCGTATATATTCAGACTTCTCGAAGCTTACTTCCGGCTCTGTTGTCAGGGGCGCCACCTTCTACCGTTATTTGAGTCTGGATAGAAGGCGCCAGCACAGCCGAGCACCTGTTGCTTTCGCACTCGTCGCTTTCGTACTCGTCCAGCTTTCGCTTCCTTCTCGGTGAATAAACAATTGCGGAACGTGCTGGTCGCTTTGTAGTCTTCACGGGGTATGACTCTATTTCCTTGTACAGACATGGAGTCAGGCCTTACTTGTTTGCGGAATGTAGTATGTATACGAGCGCAGAACACGTTGAAATGGATCCAACTTGTTCTTGCGTTTTCTTCAGGTGAATAGCTCCGTCATGAGTCTTGGTTGATTTCATGGTCATTGCTCTTTGCTTTAGGTGTTGATGTCTGTCGTCGTTTCTGGCGTGCAGCCGCATACTTTTTGCTGATGTGTGCTGTCGCAACCTTCCATTGTTAGCTTAGAACGGAGAGTAGAGGTCAAGTCGTAGAAGCTTGGCTTGGGTTCTATTTCTACGCAACGTATCCCAAATATACCGCAGGTGTCCAGGCTCCTGGCTATTTGCGTCTGACCATTGCTTGCGTAGGCTGACGAACCCTAGCCAACTTGACTGCGTTCGATAGAGATCACAATGTTGGCACGGCGAAGACGCTGCGGCCATCAAGGGGACCCTTCTATGTGCTGCCTGCTTTACTTGTTCGAGGATTAGACACTTCACTTCAGCGTAGCACAATCTCCGAAAAGCAAAAAAAAAAAAAAATAATAAGAACTCGCAGCTGGCGATTTTTTTTTTTTTTTTTTGTGATAATCGGCAGCCGACAGCAGAACGAAACCCGAGAAGTAACGCTCTTTGTGTCTGCCCCGATCGGCGTGGCTTTAGTGCCTTATGCGAATACTTAATCGGTTTAGGGAAATTTCAGCTTCGATAGTTTGGTTATTCGCGGTCATTCTCAGTAACGTGCTCCGCTTGGTCTTCATAACAGTTTGTTCGTCTTTTCGGCTCTACCAGCAGCTTCCCTATGCGGTGTTCTTATGCCTGCGCAGTGGAGCGCAACGTGTGTGCAGAATGCGTGTGAACAGAACGCTTCTTTGTTACATTTCGGATTATGCTTGATTAAAGGGTATGTGCGTGACTAAATGTTCCAGGAGACCCTTGGAATACAAGCTGAGGTGCCCAACGGCGTATCAAGTTAGGTGGATGTGGTTCGTCTCGTTTGTGCGAAGGGCAGTCCACTGGCTTCGCTAAAAAAAAAAATTTTTTTTCTTCCAAGCATTGTAAATGTCATGAGAAAGTTGATGCTTGAAAAATCATGCACCCACATTTCGCTAGTTACATGTAAGGAGAACGATGACTTCTCGGGCAATTAATAAGTCCCATCAATCATTACGCCACCTTAAAAACTAGAAACTGCAAGTATTATCCTGTGTACGCGAAACTCCGAAAATCGCTGTTCGTGTTGTTTCAATACCAACCTCGAATTGTTACGTAACATAATGTCTTGTTAGTGCATTTGTTGGAAGGAGGCTGGATATTTTTTTTTATACCGCGCAAGAGTAGTTCCGTCCCTGCAATACAACGACAACGCATGTGCGCTTTTCATGGTGTATTTGCTTGAAACTATAACTGCATGACCTATCTTATAACAATGGGTTACAGTCGAGACTGAGAGAATAATCATGACCTTTTACATCGAAGACAAGATCTGTTCTTAAAAGCACGACAATCCACACGCAACAGAAAAAAAAACAAGAACAAAAAAAAAAAAAAAACATTCACGATTTTATGTTTACCGATGTATTCGCTACGCCTTCGTAGGCTGAACGTGGACTTGTTCATCCCCTTGGGAAGGTAATCAGGCCTCTGAATCATTGAGTCGCCTTGCAAAGAGCTAAAAACTGAAATATGGACGTCTACGGTTGTAAGGTGGCGCGACCATGTTCTTGTGCAAAATCAGCACCAAACAAGAATCGATAGGTAAACGGCATTGTTTTATTTTGGACTATTTAGAAATTCCCTGCGTCAAGTCCTACTTGTTTTCAAAAGTGGTGCGTAAAACAAAAGAAACATAACAGGGTCCCGTGTGCCCCAGCCAGCCGCAACTGAAAGTTCCCACTTCGTTTCTTGTCGTCCTCCAGCGTCGATAGAAACTTCACCTCGTCAAAAGTGAGGAAGGATTCCGAGATGGCCTCGCCCATCGCAGCTTGAGTCGTAGGCCTGTGATAATGCACACCCAAGCATGAAGCACTGAACGCCGAATAAGCTCGAAGGCGCTCGGATTGTACATGGTCGTAAAGCCTTGGTCCCTTCCTCTAACCGATCTTAACTTTTCCTCGTCTTCGTATTTGTTTTGCCCCTGTCATATAGTGCTGTTTACAACACTTCACACATAAAGCACCCAGTTTCTTCACCTTATTTTTTTTTTACGTCTCCTTTTTTTTATATTTTACATTATCTTGTTCCTGTCCTCGGACGTAGGAGCTGCTTCACAATGCAGCATGAATCCTGCT